ATATATATATATACACACACACACACACATATATATATATAGCAAAATTATAGGCCCGTGAAGAAGACATAGGGAGGGGAGGAGGCTTGAGGGGTGAATGGAGTAAAATAAAATTTATTTTAAAAAAAGAAGAACAAACTCATGTCATTTGCAGGAAATGAGTGGAACTGGAGATCAACACAGTAAGTGAAATAAGACATACTCAGAAAGTCAAATATCACTTCTTTCTACCCATATGAGGAATGTAGGGTTAAAATAGAGACAGGTATGACATGAAAGAAGGAAGACTATTAGAGAACAGAAGGGGGGAGTGGGAGAAATTGATAGAAATGATCAAAATGCTACATATGCATGTGCAAATATTTCAAAATATGTGCTAATAAAATCCTTTAAATACAAAATAAATGTGGATTAATGTAACCCAATCAGTTGAAGGCCTTAAGAAAAAGACCGTAGTTCTGGGAGTGGAAGCAATTCTACCTCCATGATGCTTAAAGATTTGTGATGCAAAATCAATTTGTGATGCAATTCTTTCCTAGGTCTCCACTGTACCATTCCCTGCAGAACTCAGAACTTGCTAACCCAAACCTGTGTGACCCAGACTTAAACTAAGTGTTTCTTAGCAAACAAAATGGGAAAATGTTTGCATTTATGAAAGTCAATTATTTTTAATGGAATGCTATAGTTTCTACGTTAAACTGAATATTAACTAAAGCATTTTGAACATCAACAGATACTAGAGTGCCAAAAGCTAGAAAGTGTTATATATTATCATTTTTTAAATTGTTACTAGTGCATGTTTGTAGTACATAATGATTATACACATTATGAGGAACTGGTCATGTATATAACATATCTCAATTCTTTTTTCCCCTTCCCCTCTATCCCCTTTTTAAAAATTTTTTTTACCAGAATCAGATTCATTTATTTATTTTACAAGTCTTTCATAGAAATTAATTACTATCAATAATTAATAATAAATTTTACATAAGAAAACAACTTTTGAGAAGTATAAATTCCAAATTGATGTCATATTAAAATCTATATTCCATTTTAGAAAGAATTTATTTCTTTCATGTTGTGTGTGTATGTGTGGTACCAGGGATTGAAATCGGGCCCTTATGCTTGTGAGGCAGGTGGTGGAACCACTGAGCCAAATCCCCGGCCCTTAAAAAGAATTTCTATGGGCATAGGGAACAGAAGTAGAACTGAACCCTTATCTAAGTTAACCTCCACTTTTAGTCCTGAATAAAACTTTACAGTAATAACAAACCTTAGATCAAAGTGTGCATGATCCTTTCATTGATAAAAGAAATACAAAAGTCAGAAAGTGCAGCTGCCAAAAAGCTACTCCCATTAAACACAAAAAACTTTCTTTCACCATTTTTTAAGACATTTATATCTTTAAAATGGTTCCTGGAAGCACAGACCACATACACTGGTACTATAATAAATAATGATTATATGACTGCACATAAAAGGATTATATAATTCAAAAATGCAATTTTTAAAAAGATATAATTAAATCATTTCAGTTACTTTTTATCTTTTCTACAAGTGAAGCCTTGTAAAAATTTACAAATTTAAAAAACAAATAATTGCTAATAAAACAATGAATAATATATTGTTATAAAACTATAATATTATACCTCAAGAATTTTTTTTTTTTTTTTTTGTACCAGGGATTGAACTCAGGTCCTTGTGCTTGCAAGGCAGGCCACCAAACCACTGAGCTAAATCCCCAGCCCATGTACCTCAAGAATTTTAATGAGTAAATATCAAAGCCTACTAATTCAGAGAATAAACCGTAAGCAAAGTATAATAATGAAGAGTAGACGGACTCTAGTGATTTCAAAATAGTAATGCTTTAACACAACTCTAATACTTTTAAAGAACAGTATTGTGAAAATTATTTTAAAACTTTATTATAACACCAACCTGTTGCAATTCTTGTATATTTGCATCCTTGACCTGCAAAATTTCCAGAACTTTTCTATCCTTAGCTTCAGATTTCTGTTTTTCTCTAGAAATAAGCATACACACACACACACATATATATATACACAGTTCATCAGTCATAATTGCTACCTAATCCTCTGAATGTTTACATCCCAATAATGAATATAACTTTAAAATACAAAAATGAAATCATTATGAGTTGACAGCCCTTTCAAAATCAATCAGAAACCAGAGAGCAACTTATAATGATAACCAGGACAACCTCATACTAACAAAACAGTTTAGTACACAGATTTCAATATATGGCAAAAAAATATAAAACATAACTTAGCCTTGATTGTAATGTCCTACAATGGCATCACTTTTAACGTAATTAACAAATATATTCTTATTCATATAAACTCTTTACAAATAAAATTAATTAGAGACCATATATTACCATTTTTAAAGTAACAGTTTCAAAAATGAGAGAATCTGAGGTATACTAGTAAACAGTACTCTATGAATAGAATTTTTAGATTTCTTACACCTCCCTACACTTTTCTAGTCCCTGAGAATACTACTAGCCAAACAAGTCTCTGGTAAATATAAAGTCACAACACATAAAAAGGATTACCTTCTAAAAATAAACAAATACACCTTTAAATACGGAAAGGAACAGAGGTCTGAAGAGATTACCTTCAGAATGATACGACTGGTTAATTTATGTCACAAACGGGGAGAAATTTACTAGAAACAGATTTATAGTTGTAAAACACTTTAAAAACAGGTAAAAGAAATAAGAATGGATAGCTAAATCAGCCATGTGTCACAGAATTTGTAGATAAGGAAGAAAAGAATCTTCCCTTAAAGAAAAATGTAGCAAATATCTTAGAAAACAAAAAAAGGAATATCAGAAGAAAAACCAATCATAAAAGCATACAACTGGTTAAAAGACATAAGGTCAGGTGGCTTAATAGTTTGTAAAAATATTTAAATTCTAATTCTAATATATTAGCATAAGTTCACATTTGAGCTTCTCTCTTCTCTAAATATATAGTATTAATAGAAAAACATAAAAGAAACATAGCTTTGTTTCTGAGAGTCACAAATGAAGCAGAAATACAAAGAATTAAGATGCTATTTGCTACTCTTAGGTCCAGTCATAGGTTAAAGTGAAAAGGTAGAAAGGTGCTTGGCTTCAGAGACCCTGGGAATAAAAGTGCCTTGCTGGTACACAGAACACCAAGATCACTGTGTGAAACTAAGACCAAGGTAAGGCTAACTCATGAAAGGAGACCAGAAAAAACCTCTGCCCGCCCTTGCTAGAACCTAAGGATTCTAAGAAAGTTGTTGCAAAGGCAAAAGTTTATAGATATTGCACCCTAATCAGAAACTGGACTATAACATCCTATAGCTGAGGCACTAAACATACTGCAAAACCCCTATGTCACTGGTGGCACAGTGCCCCACGTAACCACTATAAAATTTACTTCAGGGAAAAGGATGGGGTAAGGTTGATAGCCCAGTGGCAATCATAATTTAGAGGAAAGAAACCCACATCTGACAGAGAGGATTCATAGGGAACGAGGAAGAGAACAACAGCAACAAGAGTACTCTTACCCTCATAACGTGACCACAATGAAAACAATCCAAACACGAACCCACACACACCAGCACATGACCTCAATAACCAGAGGCTACAAGTCTCAGAACAAAATGGAAGAAATGGAACACACTGAAAATGAAACATTTAAAATAAGTGAATAAAAAAAAATGACTAACACTAAAAGAACAAATAAAGCAGGAACAGATGGATGTAAAAAAATTAAGTCTTAAACTTTATTTATAATCACTGAAGCAAAAAACCTACACTCAGGTACAAAGAGAAATTAATGAAAGACACTAATGAAATATTCATACAGAACACTGCAGAGAAAAATAATGATTTTTAAAATATGACATCACAGTAGACATGTAGGTTTCACTCAGAAATACCAAGATACCCTAAACATTCCAGAAATAACAACAACAAAATGAAGGATAAGCAATATTTGGGGATTAACTGCTGAGAAAGGTTTAGTATTAAATAGTCCTCAGCTTGAAATAGTACTTGCCAAAATTAAAAGGAAAGCACAGCTGATACATTAATCCATGGCTTATTTAATGTGTACTGTTCCTGAGCCCTTACTAAGGAAGCATGGCCCTAGGGACTAGAGATGAGGCACTGAACAAATAAACAAATGGCCAACGGGACTGACATTCTAGTAAAGAGATACGAAAATAAAAGATATATAAGTAAGTATATCAAATAACTGTATGTCAAACAATTGTAAGTATAATGAAAATAAATTTGGGTAACTAAGAAAGGGATAGCAACAACCTTCCTCTTACTACCAACTTCCCATTTATACCTGATGGTTAAAAACTGGCTCTGCTGATAGGGAACATTTGAGCAGAGAGCTAAAGAAAGGAAATTAGAGTCACGTAGACCTCAGGAAAGTCTTCCAAACCAGGAAAATAATAGAAAGTACAAAGATGCTGAGGCAAGAGCATATAGTAGTCAGCCCTTACCACAAGGTATATATTCAAAGAGCCACCCCTTGTGGCTTCCTAAAGCCAGACAGAACCTAACCCTATATATGTTAGGATATGTATATATCTAACATAAGTTCAATTTACAAATTTGGCACAGATTGACAATAATAAAGCAATTATAACAATATGCCATAATAAAAGTTATGTAAATGCTGTCTCTCAGCTTAATCCTGTAATTTTCCATTTAATTATTTCCAGAACACACCTCACTGCAGGTAAAAGAAACCATGTTAAGCAAAACCAGGCAAGTAAGGCCAGAGGAACTACTGAAATTGGTATATTCAAAGAATAGCAGAAAAATAAGAATGTTTACAGTAAGAGAGACAAGGGAATAGTAGACGAGGACAAAGAGGTCATTGGGGATAAAATAATATTTATCCTTTTAGACCCTTAAAATTCAGAGCTGACTCTCAGTGAAATGAGAAAGTAAAGGATAGTTTTAAGCCACGAAATAATGCATTACCAATTAATATTTTAAAGTATCACACTGGCTGACGGATTAAAGACAGACATTAAGTATTGAAAGTAAAAACAAAAGACCAGTTACCAAGCAAGTACATACTTCAGACAAAAAGTACAAGTGGAAAGGACAAGATAAGCAGGTATAATAATGTTGAAATGTGATCATATCCTGGATATTTTTTAAGTAGACTTAACAGGATTTCTTGATATATTAGTATGAGATGTAGAAAAACAAGTAATGTGAAAACTGTCTCTAAGCCTTGTCTGAACAAATGGAAATATGGAGTAGATAATATCTGAAATACTCAGAGGGCGAAAAGCAAGCATTACAATTTTGAATTTAGACACACTGAGATCCAAGAGAAGTCAACAGATGGGCAAAAAACAAGTCTGAAGTCACTAAAGAAGTGGACACTATAGACATGATGTTAGGAGTGTAGACCAGGAGAATGGATGAGATCACCTAAGGAGTAATACTGAATAAATTAAATCTGAGGATTGAGTCTCAGAGCAATCTAGCCATTACAGGTGGAAGAGGGAAAAGCAGAAGATGCTATTAAGAAGACAAGTCTTTAGGATAAAAGGAGAATCAAGGGGTAAAAGTGAGGTCTTTCTAGAAGAAATGAACTACCAACTATGTAATACGTGGCAAACACATTATAGACAATAAAGACTGAAAACTGATGGTTAGATCTAGCAATATTAGTCACTAATTATCTTGACAACAGCTGTTTTAGGAGTATGGTGGGTATGATAGGTTAATTGGAGTGAGTTTGTGATAAAAAAAAAAGAAATAGTAAAAACTCCTCTGAAGAGGAATTTTACTATTCAAAAAAGAAGCAAAGTAGAACAGCTGTCCAAGGGAAAATGAGCTCCAGAGAAGTTGCTGTGTTTTTTTTTTAAGATGGGAGGTAAACACATGTGTGTGCTGAATGGGATAACCCAGGACAGTGAAAGATAAGGGGATGAGGGAGAAGGGAGAACTGCAGAGCAGCATCCTGTAACTCCTGAGCTTATGCATGCTCTTTGTTTAGACTTAGATGGGAGTATAAACAATTTTTCAAAAGAAATAAAAAGAGAAAACATGAGTAGATTCACATATGTGGGTATATGTGGTTATGGAAAGGAATAAAAGTTCTACTCTAAGAGCTTCTTTTTCTCAAAGGTATAGTAAGCAAGGGTATCCACTGTATTGATATAGCACACCAAGTAATCCAAATAAGGGAATTACTATAACTCTCAACCTGCTGGGTATCTAAAACTCTGAGTTTGTATTCTTTGAAATCGAGAATGAGTTCTAGAAACAACAGAGGTTAAGAGTAGGAAGAATTTATTGAGAGAACAATAGCTTCAGTCTGAGAGACTGAAGAGGGAATGGAAAGTGGGTTGCCCACTCACCACACTTTTCAAAGGTGTTTTATTGAGCAAAGCCAGGAGGTGAGGCAGGTTCAAGGTGGGACAAAACTATTATAGTCAACTAAAAAGATTACAAGAATTGTTGCTTAGGTAATGATACTAATCCAACGGAAAATCATGAGGTGGGACAAAACTGTGATCAGCCAATAAGATTAAAACAAGTATAATCACTTAGGTAATATTAATTACAGGGGGATCAAATGGGAAAGGGAGTCATAGGTGGAAGGAACAAAGATTTCCCTAGAAGGAATGGGTTAGGGAGATTTTAGTCCCCACTTAAGATGACTGATGCCTACTTAGAATATCAATCGCTGTTATTCATCTCTAGAGAAAGGATGTAAACGTAGTACTTTTTCCTTTTTTATAATGCTGACCTTTAGTGAATGTGTCTCAACTGTCTTTTGTATTGACTCAGGGCTGGCCCTATCTAAATACAAGATATGTAATTAACATAGCTGTCTACAATATTATGAAAGTGAGACTAGAAAAAGAAGATTTGGAAGCTGAAGATGAAAATATTCTAGGGTAATGGGATAATAAGTGGGCCAGGAAAAAAACAGGAAGGCCTAGTAAGCAGTACTAGGCACCAATGCAAGTTAGTAGTCATAA